TCGTCAAAATGGCCCTTGGTGAGAAACCACCTTTAGTCAGTACTTTCGTCACGTCAATGACTAAAGTCAAAAGTTTCATCATACATCATTATGCAGTACAAATAGCCAATACTCTGTCTCAACCTTAATTTTTTTCTTGGAATAATCATTTTTTATTAAAAATTTACTATTTGGTTTCTTAGTATCATACAATGTAAATACATAATGTAAATAAATATGATATATGCTGAGCTTTTTATAGACATTTTGATAGATATGTTTTAGATAAATATGTTTTAGATAAATATGTTTTAGATAAATATGTTTGCATAGATGTTTCCATTTACAAATATATTTACTCTTGCAACATTGCTTATAAAAATTATAAAATAAATTCTTCAACAATATATAAATTATTATATGTTATTAATTAATATATAATGTATATAATATAAAACATGTTAGAATTTTTTTTGTTATTATATTTTTGTTGTTTAGCTTTTCAAAAAATATCAAGTTGTTTTATTGTTTTATTTTATTGAGAAAATTGCTGGCACAGTACAAGCCCAATTTGTAGAAAATGTTTATTGCCAAAGATATGTATATACCATATTACTGTGAATACTTGCTTATTTTCATCATCCTTTGTTACACCTTCTAAATTAATAAAACCATTGAAGTAATCATTATTAAGAATGGTTGACAAAATTATATATGACGAAATTCATATTTATTGCTAATACTAACACTAAGGGCCTTTTGACGAAATTGATCAGCCAATCAAATTATAAATTTATTACCAATGATATGAAAATTTTGCACAAAAAAAAATCTGTTTCTTTTTCTTTGATGATTCACCACATAAATTGTTTTTTTTAGGAATGATTTTGGGCCTATTTTTAGATTTAGCCTTTGGTTGTTCCAGAATATTATCAAGGTTTTCTCCTTCTGAATTTCTAGGATTTAAATCTCCAAAATCATTTTCTTCAAAAATCGTTTTCTCCACAATCACCTCCAAAATCATTTTCTTCTAAATTATTTCTTTCAAAATTATTTTCTTCAAAATCCTCATAATTTAAGTCATTATCTCCATTTTGTGAATCATAATAAATATTATTTACTTCATCTTCTAAATAAACAAATAATTATAAAGTATAAAATAAATAATTGGATGCATGTTATTAGGATACATAATATTATTACTCATTATATTTAAAACTAATTGTTTGAGATCATAATCCAAACCTTGTGTTAAATCGATTTGATTGGATCCAGATTCGGGAGAAAATTCATCAAAATGATCAGTAACATCTTCCAAAAAAAAAAGCTTGATAAAAATCCATACTTTGTAATGATGGTTCATTTAACTCAGCTAAACATACATTGTCATCATTGTCATCATCTTCACCATTACTGTCATCATCACTTTCTTCATATTTATCATTATCTTCATCTTTTATTTATTTTATCAAAATCTTGATCAATATCTATTTCAAAATCTTAATCATCTTTCTAATTTCTTCTTCTGTTATGTTGTTTCTATAAATATTCTATTTCTTTTTTATTATTAAAAATATAATAATTATGTATTTTTGAAAATTCTTCCAATTTTTCCAAACTTAGGTTATATCTCCCATCCCAAGTTAGAAAAATTCCTCTTGCATGATACACTGTGAGGTACTATAGAAAAAATTTAATAGCCAACTCTTGCAAATGTCCAAATTGATCCCCACAGGCATACCACCATTAGTGTTGGTTTCCAAAACTAGAGAGTTTCGCAACCATGCAAAAGTCAAAAGGTTTCGTCATAAGTTGAAACTAGTTTTGATTTTTGACCATTGACTTTTGATTTAGTTTTGACATATAACTTTTAATTTTAGTTTTGACTTTTGTCTCTTCAAAATAGTTTTGGCAACCAACACTAACCACCATGTAAGTGGTGTATATAAAATGGTTCCATATTTAATTTATATCTACATAATTGTGACAAAAGTTCACTACATGATTGAGTTGACTTTCCCATATTCTTTCAGCAATTTTTTGAAAATTCCCCTGCTTGATTCCTTTTCCTAAAATTGATGAAATCTTCAAGTTATTATTATGTATCAAAAAAAATAAATAATAATTCAATTATTGAATTACCTTTAAAATTTGGATGCAAAAAAAACCCAAAAGAAATTCATCATATTCAAATTCTGACCAGCATAATGGACACTCATTTTGTGCAACAGTCATTTGTATAATAGGCAGGCGGTTACACAGAGCCCGTTGCTTCTGAAACTTCACTAGAATATAGCTGTAGCCTCTCTAAGTCCAGATCATCAGCAAGATCAAAATTATCTCACACTTTTATAATCAAACTTTTGCAAGAACTTTCACCATAACATATGTTATGTTGATCATTTTTTTGTGATCTGCAACAGTGTCCACTATGCTGATAAATATATTGTAGATTCTATACAAATTGATTTAGCTGGACCAGATGGCTTGCCTGAATAAGTTAAATCCTGTATTATTTATTTTTATTTACCTGGCTACTATAGTCATGATATTAAATATCTTGAGTAATGATATTATATAATAACTTCTTTAGATTTTTTTTTTTTCATCTTGAAATTCAGATGTCAAATAGGCACATTAAATAAAAAATAATGATTTTTGACAAAGAATAAATGTATTTTTAATAATCATTGTTATCATACACACATAACTGCAGTATTGCTTGTTTCTTACCTTTTCAAATCAATGGTTTCATTTTTTTAAAGCATTAACAAATTGAAGTGATGTACTTATAAATATATCATATAATATATAATATATGGTGCGTCTAGTCCCAGCAATTGACATAATAAGTGCCCAAATTTGAAAATTATATGTGAACACATGTGTAACGTTGTTAGATCCACAAATCACAATATTTTTTTATTACAGAAGTTTTTTACTCATTATTTTCATTATTAAAAATATTGTGGGTTACTTTTCTATGAGATTTATATTGCTTAATTGCAAGTTTTGCTTGCTCACCTGTAAGCCCATTCCTATAAGCATCCATGTAATGAAAAGAATGTCTAGCATATTTCCTAATATGCTCCAATGATACAGAATCTAATGCTTTTGGAACCACCTTTTACAATCCATTCCAAGAATAATTACAATTGTTTGGCTTAAGGATACCAGCTATAACTTTTGATGATGGTTGCTACCACCTTTGCGTCATATAAAAATGATTGCAACCGCCTTTACAACCATTTTGTTTCCTTTTTTGGGTTGCAACATGGAACACTAGTTTGGCTTCTCCCAACATCTCTCAATAAAATTCAGTTCACAGTGAAATTTTGGGTAAAATATTACTTTGTGCCCCCTCTGCTCAATTATTTCTTGAATTAATGGTTTTTTAGCTAGAAAATCAGGCTGGGCTTCCAGAATATGATGAGCACAACAATCATTATTTTCATTTGAATCATTACCTGTAACCCATCTCCATAAATTTTTCTCTTGCAAAACAATACACATACCTTTTGGTTGACCATCTGGAAACACCATTTTTTGAACTTGATTATTAAATACAGTATCTCTCAATTTATATTGCTTACCTCCAGGATTTAAATTCATATGTTTTGCAATCAATGCCTTGTCAGCAAATACAACATGAGAAGTTGTCAAAAGCAAATATTCCAACACAACCTGGATGCATTGCTTCAAAAATTGGTATGGCTTTTTGGATTATCTTTTATAAAAATAAAAACTCATTAGTAAAAAATTCAATAATATTAGTTACACAATATTTCACCTGTTCAGCTAATTTTTGAATATTCCAATATCCTTCATGCTGTTTTCCAATTGACAAAAAAACACAAGCTTCAGTTGGAAGCTTTTCATCATTAATTCTTTCCTTAACTTCTGGTGAAAGTTTCAGCCATCCAATTGACTCACAAAGAAAATCACTAACATGATATCCACATCCTTCTCCTTTTTTTAATAAAGGTTGCTGATTAGTAGGACCCCAGCCAAATTTTGTACCATCATTGGAATGAAAAGTAGACTCATCATGGGTTACAAAAATATGAATTTTTTCACCATCATTGAGATCTGAAAGTATGCAAATTTCAAGATTGTTTCCTATTGTAAGAATTACTTTTCTTAACAAAAATAAAAACAATATTATAACATGTTTGTTGAACAGGTACTTTAATTATTGTAAAAATACAAGTTATCTTTATTATCTTAAAAATGATGTCCTTTATATAATAAAATCACATAGATTGATATAATATAAATAATATAAATAATAATAAAAGATTGATAAAATATAAATGGGGCAGACTGCAACAAAACCAGACAAAGTGAACATTGGTATAACCAAGAATTTCAGGGATCAAAATTTAGTCATTTGTAATGTGATCATAATTAACAGTTTTTTAAATTGTAACATCTCTCCATGACAGAGAGAATCACAAGGAATTCTACCACCTCAGTAGGAAAAGTCATTTCAACTAGAGACAAGAGCTGGTATAAGCCATCATAATTTAAAGTGATTCTCCAAAACTCAATTCTGTTTCCTATTACATAAATATATATTTGGCATATTGCTCATCAATTATAGGATTAGCTTTGATCACATACCATTAATGAGTACACCATACGTTTCATCATGAATTCCTAGACAGTTTGACAAGTGCCTGATTCGTGATGGACTTGTGATTTTCCACCCTTGGTGGCTTAATTTCGCCAAATAAAATTTCACTCCCATTTGCATCTTTGCAAATCAGGGTTGGCGAATGTGTGGTCCATTGATGGTCCATTGATGGTCTATTGGGTTTATTAGTGTAACATTTTAACTATATTTAGTATTTTATTAATTGCAATGGACCAGCTCAAAATCCATCAGTTCTCAATGGACCAGTCAATTTGCCAACCCTGTTGCAAATTAAGCAAAAGTCTGGCTTTAAGCTGTGGTTGCCATCTTCTGAGCATTGGATTTTAGATGAGATACTCTCTCCATTTGCCTTACATAAAAATATTGACAAGTTAATTTCATAAATATCTTTGTAAAAAAACTTATTGTAAGGTAATATTATAGAACATACCATACAATTTGCATGGTTTCAACATGGAAGATTTCCTCCAAGATTGCATGACAAGTTCTGTGAACATAGGTGTCTTTGTTTGATAAATTCTTATTCTTACCATATGGTAAATTGTAAAAGCTACACATAACATTATATCCAATTATCATAAATACAGATCAATTATCTATTGTTATAAAATATTTTTGTCTACTTACAAATTATGTGTTATAATCTGCATTGAATCAAATATCCTCTTATCATTTTGATCTTCCAATAAGGACACTTTACTCCAGTTCAACCTCCACAATTCTTCAAATCCAACCAAATCACCCATCATTAAAGGCTTACAATAAAGCACGTAATCAGCATGTTAAACCAATATAGCATATAAAACAAGATGTGTATGTATATATTTACCTGCGTATATGAACATACAATGACTTGGATAAGGGCTGGTATCTTGAATTTATAGGTAATGTGTGGAAATGCCATTCGCCATTCATTGTCAGTACATAAAACATAAGTTGGTTTTTTGTTCTTTCTTAATACCATTATGCTTGATAAGGCACTATTATAAGTAAAATGATATGTGAACATCCAATTAAAAAATACAACAATTTCATTGGATTAAGTATTAAAGGCTTACATTATGGACTCAATATTGGTTACATAACTTAAAACTGGATCAATTTTTAGCTTTTCAATAATTGACCTCTGAAATTGCCAAAAATCATCTGAAAAATTGTGTCCATCATTATTAATCCACTATTCAAATGCAGATACAGAAAGGTAATTAGCGAAAATATAATAAACAAGTTTATCAGTTCCAGAAAACATTTGTGAACATACATCCTTTAAAGAATTTTCCTTTATTTCCATTTTTTGTATTACATAGTCCCATGTAAATATTTGTTTAGAGCTCACTTCTACACCAAATGAGGAAACTGTGAAGTCGTTATTATGTCCTCTTGCAGAAGTATCTATTTCTTCACAATTTTCTTGGATCTAATGAATATTATAAATGGTATGCACAAATTATTTAAAAATGATTATGAAACTAAACAAATGGTGTTGTTCTTACCATTGGTTCAATCTCGCCATTATCAGAAGTCCTAGTCCTATCATTGTCAAACTCATTTTCATCATTATCATTACCACCTCTTTTACATTTTTGAATAATCTTATTTGTTATATCATCCAATGCTTTTGACTTATATGCTTGTTCTCACACGATATAAAAGTTAGTTGTTATGTTAACATTATGCCAAGATACTGATTATCTGTATAAAGAATAGAAGGACCTGTTTTTCCTGAATATCAATTTCGTTCTCTTTCATTAATTGCTGTCATTCAATGTGCTCAATAATCTTCTCGGCAAGTTCATTGAAAAAGTTTTTTTCATCTATAACATTATTGATTAGCTAGCTATATTAGATTTTGAAAGGTAAGCTTTATTAGCAAAAGTTTACCTTCATAGTCATTCTTAGCTTTTTTGCATATTCCATAACATATTTGGGGTAACTGTCATTCTCGTTTTTTTCGATGAAAGTCAGTGATCTACAAAAGGACCTAAATAAATCTGGTGCTGTCATAAGTGGGTTGGACTCTAACTTGGAATTCATATATACATTGAGAAGGTGCCATTCGGAAATTGGATTTGTAGATAAATAAGTATCGATTTCTGCATGTGCAGGGATTTTATAATACATGACCAAGCTTAGAATGAATGATTTAGTGTATGAAATTCAGTTGGGGGATCTAGGAGATAGTGAAAAATCAATCAAAATATATAGATACCAATAGGTAACACACAAAAGCTTAATATATTAATATTAATAACAAAAAAATGTGTGGCACAATCAATCAACTGCTTGTAGAAATTTTCATTTTTATACTTTGTGTTAATGTTTGACTGAAATAATATGTATATAATACACGTTTTCAATATTTGTTTACAATTTAGAAATCATCCATCCAACAAAAAACAATTTTTATAGAGATAATAAAAGAAATGTGAATGTAAAATTCTTTCACTGCCTTTCTACGAGGGCCTTGCAGAAATGCTTGCCTTTACACCATCCCTATGCTTTGGACCTAGGAAAATACTTCCAAACTTTATGACTCATGATTCCACTCTTGGGAGGTGTATTGATAGAAAGAGATGAGGGCCTTGCAGAAATGATTGCCTTTACACCATCCCTATGCTTTGGACCTAGGAAACTACCTCCAAAGTTTATGACTCATGATTCCACTCTCAGGAAGTGTATCATCTCATTGTGCAGTGATAAACCAATCATAAAAAAGAGCTAGCTAAGTTATAATCTTCATTTGAACTTTTAAGATAATGATCATTTAACATATGTTTATTTTTACTTATTTATTGATTTTTTTTAGAGAATTTTTTTTCATATTTCCAAAAAAAGATTAAAAAAAGAACACGATTAATTGAAGAACCTTTTTAACATTAGGCGAACATGTTATTTGGTATGTTATTTACACATCCATTGGATAAGTTTGCCAGGGTAATGGTCATTTAGCATATATTTATTTTTACCTATTTACTTATTGATTTTTTTAGAGAATTTTCCAAAGAAAAAAAAGAATTCAATTGAAGAACTTTTTTAACATTAGGCGAACATGTTATTTGGTATATTATTTCACACATCCATTGGTTAAATTTTCCAGGGTAATGGTCTTTTAGCATATATTTATTTTTGGTATGTTATTTCACACATCCATTGGTTAAGTTTTCAAGGGTGATGGTCATTTCATATGTTGATGTATGACTGTTCTAAAAACTGTAAATTGGCACTTTATGAACAAGTCATAGAGAATCCTGATTGAGGTGCGAGTGAATGAGAGTGTATGGACATGGATGGGTATTGGTATGGACATGAAGAATCATATGATTATGTTTATATGACTCATGAAGTAAGTCAATTGTAAAAAATTTATTTGGCCAGTTATCAGCACAGCATTGAGGAGATAATGGATACACCATAGGCGGCATAGTTAGTTTGGATAGTAAATTGATTGGTTTTGGTATTTTATCAGTTGGTGGTGTTGATGGTGGTATTTCAATCCAAAAATTAAAAGTACATGGATGATTGTTAAAATTTTTTAAAATAATTTATTTGATATTTTTATTTTATATCCATTACTAAAATCATTGTTTTTAAGCTGCTTCTCTAAGTCACTAATCACAACTTCAGTCATTTCTTTATCATTACTTTCAATAAATTCCTCAGAACTTTCATTTTCACTATTAACATCTGCTTCACTTTTTTCAAAAAATGCAGTTATTAATTGACCATTTTTTCCAGCATTTTTCTTAGCCTCACTTTGTTTCTGGCAATAAGTTCTGGAAGAGTTACCTATATAGCACAAAGGTCTTGATGATGAAGTGTAATTTTTTGTGGTTTCATTGAGGATATCAATATATTTTACAGAATTTCCATCTAATTCTCTATCTATTCCTTCTTCAAACCAACTTTCCTCAGCATAGCGGACATTTGCATATTTGGTAATGATTTGCGTCAATCACATTTTGATTTTATCACATAAAAAAGCATTTTGATTGGTTTGAATATCATTACTAAATTAACAATTACACAAAATCATTAATTGCGCACAATCATTTTTTGACATTAATTAATAATAAAAAAAGTTGTTTTTAGCCGTTAAAATATTTTATACATAAAAAAATGTGATGTGATAGATACAGAGATAAAGACACATTATAAAAAAAATAATAAGGGAATTAGAATTGTGCAAAAATATGGGTTTACAATTTTTTTTTGCAAAAATCCCTTTCATAGCGAATAGATTGTGTGAATTTAACATCTCTATTTTTTGTAAATAAATAAAATTCAATGTCATTATAATAGTAACAGTAGTGTAATTTTATGGAAATGATATTTCAATTCTTATTATTCAAATATCCATAATACTTTCAAATATAAATATCAAATATTGTAATACCCCCGAATATTGTAACACTTTCAAATATTGTAACACTTTCAAATATCATAATAATAATAATAATAATAATATATAATACTTTTGAATATTGTAACACTTTTGAATATTGTAACACTTCCAAATATTAATATCGTAACACTTCCGAATATTAATATTGTAACACTTTCAAATATCATATACACTTCCTGGTCATAAATATAAGGACACTTGCAGATCATCGGAAATAATTGAATAAAGAAACATGAAAAAA